AAGGTTTATATATGTATATTTAGGTGCTAAGCATTATCCTAAAAATATTTTGAAAATATTATGATTTGACCGAATGCCGAGCACAAACCCGATCACTTACCAAATATTCGATTGACCAAATTTGCAAGTAATATTTATTGAAAAATGTTCATTTTTGTTTTATATATCTAGATATATTTGTAAAACATTATGCTATAAAATATTTTAAAAAAATCGTCATTTGACGATAACCGAAATACTGCATTGCTGGTGTTATCCATGGAAAATTTTTTATTTTTGGTTTATACGTGTAAATATACGTGGTAAGCATTACTCTAAAAAATACTTTGAAATATTATGATTTGACCGAATTCCGAGCTCAAAACCGATCACTTACTAAATATTCGATCGACGAAATTTGCTAGTAATATTAATTGAAAGATGTTCATTTTTGTTTTATTTATCTATAAATATGTGTAAAACATTATCCCAAAAAATATTTTAAAAATATCGTGATTTGACCGATAACCGATGTGAAACCGAAATACCGCATTGCTGGCGTTATCCATGGAAAATTTTTATTTTTGGTTTATACGTGTAGATCTAATGTGTTAAGCATTATTCTAAAAAATATTTGAAAATATAATGATTTAACCGAATGATGAGCTCAAAACCAACCACTTATTAAATATTCGATCGACCAAATTTGCTAGTAATCTAATATATTCGTAGATATTTCATCAACGTGTCCGACTAGTCCATTTGAGGAATGATACATCATAGGCACAATATCTTCGCTTTTTATCTCTTTAAGAATTTCGAGAGATATCTCAGGAGATGGCTTCTCTATTAATTTAAAATAAAAAAATTTAATATAAATATTCCTTACCTAATTAAATATTGCTGGAAATCAGACATTTTTAAAACAAAAATATGATTTATAATGTTTGGAGCATTGAAAATTTATTATAATTAAGATTATTTAGTAAGTGGTCGGTTTTGAGCTCGGCAATCGATCAAATTATAATAATTTCAAAATATTTTTTAGGATAATGCTTAACACATAGATGTACAGGTATAAACCAAAAATAAAAAATTTTCCACGGATAACGCCAGCGCCAGCAATGCAGTATTTAGTCATTATATCGGTTACAAATCGGTTATCGGTTAAATTACGATATTTTTAAAATATTTTTTGGGATAATGTTTTATATGTATTTATTGATATATAAAACAAAAATGAACATTTTTCAATTAATATTACTAGCAAATTTGGTCAATCGAATATTTGGTAAGTGGTCAGTTTTGTGCTCGGAATCATAATATTTTCAAAATATACTTAAGGATTGCTTAACACGTAGATGTACACGTATAAACCAAAAATAAAAAAATTTCCATGGATAATGCCAGCAATGCAGTATTTAGTCATTGGGCCGGTTTCAAATCGGTTATCGGTCAAATCACGATATTTTTAAAATATTAGGGTTAATGTTTTACACTTATTTATAATAAATAAAATAAAAATGAACATTTTTCGATTAATATTACTTGCAAATTTGGTCAATCGAATATTTAGTAAGTGATCGGTTTTAAGCTCGGTATTCGGTCAAATCATAATATTTTCAAAATATTTTTAGGATAATGCTTAGCACTTAAATATACATATATAAACCTTGATCGATAACGCCAGCAATATGTGTCATACAAGTTTTCTATTATTTTTCTATTCTAAACCTACTCATTAATTAAATGTCAAAGAAACCTATCATTTTTTAATAAATTTTATGTTTTCACATGTATTTATACCTAAAAAAACGCTAACCAATAATTATTCTGATATCCTAAGATGTGATATTCATATTTATGCATTTAACGCCCTCTTATGGATGATATATATTTGTTAAATAATTGAAATAAAATTTGAGTTATAATAAGCTAGTAAATATTTTTTTTTCCAATAATATTAAGTAAAAATTGAATTATAAATATTTTGATATTTATTCTCAATTTTTTATTTAATAAAAATTTGATTTATTAAAAATGTTTCTAAAAATTATTAAAAATATTATATAATCAAGTTTTGATTGATTATTATTAATTGCTTTTTAGCAATGCAGTATTCAGCCATACCGAGTGGGTGCAATCTTATATAATTTCGTATAAAAATATTAGATGCAAAAAAATTTAAGAAAATATTGGTTATATATATCTTCATAACATAAAATATTCAAGATCATTTAAGCCCTGCAAACTGAAAAGTCTAGTGATGTTCCTGATTTAAGAATATTAAAAAAATTATATTATTTTTCAGGAATTCAAACCTGAACCTTTAAACCGATATAAGTAACTATTTTCTATCGAACCTGAACTGTTAAATCATTTCCTATACGAACCTGAAACAAACTGCTAAAACTACCTGCGAACCGGATTGAACTTCATGATTTTATGCTTATAAAATATTGTGAACGTTATTACTAGTTTATTGCGAAAAGTCTAATTTTATCCGAATTGTTTTAAAATTATCATAATTCAATTTTGATTGATAAGAATCAGTTACAATTAATATAAGTTTTTGTATATTGCTATTTTACAAAATTTTTTAAATAATTTTATGTTATATTTTAATTTTTAAAACTTATTAATACATAGGAATAAATTAAATCCAATATATAAATTATTTACGTATAGTATTACGAATGATATATCTAAATGTAAAGTTACAGAATGTGATACAATTATGAAAGGCCATGATGATGCGAATCTTGAGCGTCACACTTCTAGAACTTGCAAAAATTAACAAAAGCCAAAATAAATAAAAAAGATTATGATTTCATCCAGCCAACAGACTCTTGAAGAAACATTTAAGGAACAAACATGATCATAAAAAAATATATTAGAAATATCAGAGAAAATAAGAAATATTTTAGTTAATTATCATAAAGAATCTCGCCTAAATAAAGAAATGAATATATTAGATATCGGCAAAATCAAGTAATCGATACCCCGAATTATGTAAATGGTAAGACGCTATCAGTGTTGTTAAACGCTACTTTTAAAGGTAGAGTGCTATAGCTATGGCTATTTTTAAAAAGTAGGGTATTAGCTACTTTAGAATTTTTTTTTAAAATATCTCTATTTTCAAAATATCGGTATAAAATTTTGACTAAAATTTCAAATATATAATTTATTTATTTTTTATTGCATTTCAATAATATAAACATTATTATACTGTCAATCCCAAGTTTAAGGCGATAATGAGAAAGTATAAGCTTTGACTATATAATCGTTCAACACTTGCACTTGACGGCAATGCAGTATTAAAATTAACATATTTATACAAGAAAGACATTAAAATATTAATTTGAGCATTATTAGATTCAAAAAAATGCGTCTAGAGTATTTTCAATAGTACTATAATTTATTTCAAAAAAATAGTAGGTGGCATTTTTGATCTGGCTTAGTGTTGTTGAACTGCTCGCTTTTTAAAACGGCCAACCAAATATTTTAGCCCAAAAATATTATGAAAGCCTGGAGATTTTTCTAATAGATGTCATAAATGGACATCTTTCAACAAAATCTCGAGGCTTGTATTATATTTCTTGGCTAAAATATTAGGTTAGCTGTTTTTAAAAATCGAGCCGTTTAAACACTACTAGGGTCAGTACAAAATTATAGCAGTAATATAGAATAAAAATTATGAAGGAATAAGTGATATAAATGGATATGTTTGCTGACTGGCCATGCCACCCACCCTTTAACTTTTTATCTATTGAACAATTCAAAATTGGTCAAAATATGAAAAAATTGAAATAAATATTTAGCATGTAGTGATAAAATGTTTAAATAAATGAGTGGTTAATTTTAGGCTGCATTCAAAGTGGAGACGGATCCGTTTTTTACATCCGTTCCGTCAAAAGTCAATCTCATTAAAAATGTTATATATGTTCAAAGTGCGTCCGTTCCGATACCATCCCTCTTAAAAACGGATCCGGCAAATTTTGAAGTCAAAATATTTTGACTTTTTGATCCGGCAAATTTTAGAGCGTTATAACGTTATTTATAATTTTTTAAAAATGAAAATCAATATATATATCATTTTTAATGATTGACTTTTGAGAACGGATATAAAACCGAACCGTCTCCACTTTGAATGCAGCCTTAAGCATGTTTAACATCCAAAAAAATAATTTATAAAATATTATCATTAAATAAATGAGTTTTTTAATAAATATAAATATTGATTTAATACAGGGGTGTCACTAGCCTTTATAATCTCATGAAATTTTTTAAAATTATTTTCAAAATTCCTTTTTTTTAACTAACATTATCAAAATTATATGTGATAATATAAAATTTGAAAATTTTGAGAAGACTCTTAAATTTTCATGGGACTCAAGCCCCTGCACCCCCCCCCTCTAGTGACGCTACCGATTATATTTTATTAATATTAATAGTATATATATAAATTCTGTGTTTTATTTTAAATAATAAACTGGTAACATGAAATTTGATAAATGTTAACATTCAAATTTAATTATAAATTTTATTTATGATGAAAAGTTGTCAGTCTTAAATATTAGTTCTCTGGTGTTAAATAGATCGATTTTCTAAAAAGACTAACTCAATATTATTGTCAAAATATATTATGCAAGTCTCGATAATTTGTTAATCCAAGCAGTTATACCAGCTATGAGTAAAGTCTCCAGACTTGCTTAATATCTTTGGATAAAATATTGGGATAGCCATTTTTAAAAATTATTAATAAAATGAATGCATGTAAAATATAACGCTGCCTCTATGAAATTATTTTTTTTTATGGTATGGTTTAAAAAACTATTTATTTTATTATATTTGATTTAAAAACATATATTTTAGTTAAACATCAAAATTTTTTTTAAAATCTTAATATTCCATTAAATTTGATATTGATCAAAATATTTTAATTATTAGTGAATTTTTAAAATAAACCTTATATAATTAAACTGCTCTATTATTTTTTAAAATAATATTTTAAAACTAACCTTTGGGCAATTTCCCCCCAAGTGATGAAAATTTATGTGGATTTTTGAGAAAATCAACTACTTCCTGTAACTCATCTATTACTTCTGGAATGCCTCTAACATCATTAAAAGTGTCTGAGATATCTTCAGGATGTACTTCATTACCATTACCCATAATTAATTGTTTAATAGGACCTCCTATAATACACAATTTAATTAGGCATAATTATTATGTAAATTAAAATTATATAAGGTTATTTATCTCATATAAATATAAATAATCTATAATTATTATTTTGCTATATTAATAAAACATTAATTGCTTACCCACAACACTAAATAGCATTCCTATTATTATAATAAAAATGATTAGTTCTCTAATGCCAGCAAGAAAATTCATTTTACGCCCTGATAATTTTTTTTTTGATTCACCAGCAAGATAACCTTCTGCAAATGATATCTAAATTTAAAAATTAATATATAATTTTTAAATGTGTAATATAATTAAAATTATAAACAAATATAGAAACCTTTAATTTATCTTTTTCAGAAGATAAGCTGACATCTGATAATAAATTCTTCATAACATCCCCTTGCTTATCATCAGATTTTTTCTTAATTTTTTTCTAATTTTAGAAAAAATAACATACTTACTATAAACCTGAAAACTTGAAAATATATCTAATAAAGATGGTTCTGTTTTTTTATTTTTTAATAAAGTTTTGTAAGTTCCTAGACCTTTTGTTCTAAAAGTTTTAAACCCTCTTTCACTTTTGTAAAATTGATGGTTAGCATTTCCTGTATCAAAATATAATAATAATTATGAATATAGAACACACTTTTAAATAATTTGTTTTCTGAAAAGTAACGTTGTAAGCTTGTTTTAGATACAAAATGTGTGGTTAAATTGACTTTTATTCTCTGTAACAGCAATTCTAAAAAATATTTTTTAAACAAATATCAGATACAAATAATGAATAAATGATAGGCATATTTGCTATTGATCTGTATCATATAATAAAATATGAGTTATCCTCAACCATAAAATACAAAACTAAAATCCCCCAACCACTGTGTATAAAAAAAATTTTGCAATAAAAGGTGTAAATAATTACCTAAATTTTCATCTTTTTCAAGTATTTTTTTTACAATACTGAAGGTTTCTAAATAATTAGGATGGTCTTCAAATTTGAATTTTGATGGGTGCAAAATTTGGCATAAATATTTAAAGTTGCTTAAATTCAAACCTTTTAGATATGAAAATTGCTGAAGAATATGTATTAAATTATTTAAACTTAATATAACAAACTTCATTGTAGTTCTCAAAATAACTGTCCAAATATTTACCATTGGAATCATCAAGCTTTACATTCGACTTTTTGGAGCTCAGTATATTTCTTAATGATTGAGTTATTGTAGAAGAAAGAGGTGAGAAAAAATATAATAACTTAAATTATAAACAATATAATAAAACAGCAATATTTAAATGAACTTGATTAGAATTTAAAGCGCAGTTTAAAAACATATTATTTATAATTAATTGAATTTATTAGAATTTAAAATAACTGACATATTTGTCTTATGATAAGACCTTTAATAAATTGAGCTTTCGTTCTTTCTTTCTTAGAACCAAAAATGGTCTGACATTAACCAAAATTTTGCTTAGAAGCATCAGCATAAATTTATATTTTAATAAACCAGCATGCAATCAGAGAAACGTCTATTTCCATTATTTAAACAAAATATAGTATAAAAATATATTTTATATGCGCCTAAATTTGTAAAAATTTGATAGAACATAATAAATTTACCGTGGTGCATGATATATAAACGAGAAAATAAATTTCTATTTTTAAAGAAAATTTTGTTTGTTCTTCTAAATATTTTGGACTTAAAAAAAAATAATAAAGAAAAGTAATTTTAAAAAAATAGCGGCTAAAATGAAACATTATAATCGGTTTCTATAAATTATACTGATAGATTATAGGAATTTCTTGTATAAATCTGGTATAATAATAGATATTATCTATAAAATAGGTGATGTTTAAATATTTTTTTTAATGACAAAGTAATAAATTAAAAATTAAATTATAATAAGTAAATTAATATTTAAAATTAATCTTCCAAAATATACTAACTATTTTTAAAAATTTATAAATTATTAATATAAATTTTTTACCACTTACTACTTAGATTTAAGTGTTAATCAAGAGTAGGAACACTTGAGATGAAATATAAGCATCTAAATGTATATTCTTAAATATACTACATTTAAAACGAGTTTGTGCCTATATAGATATATATGGCTTCTATGGGACAGATTGGGACTTATATTTACATGTTAACAAAATAAAATGTCAACCTTATTTAATGTAAGGAACAATCGAGATGTGTAGACATATAATAAAGATCTCTAATTGTGTATTATTAGTTTAATATTGCAATTATAAATTTATGGTAATACGTATAATTTGGAAAAAATTGAAATACTGTGAATTGAGATTTGTTATTTTACGTAAAATCTTTATAACTGTAATTTGTCATTATAATTTTCAAATATTAAAATTGTATATTACGGTTTGTATTAATAAAATGGAAGTCTTAAGCCTTACTTAAGATGCGTCTATATAGTCAAAATATTTTTCAAAGAAAATAAATGATTATCGCATTTACATTATTCGTCCTAACTCGATTTCTTAAATATCAATAATAAATTAATTTTTTAAAAAATAAAATTTTGACTTTGGAAGCACCCTTATAGTATATGCCTTTTATTCAAGCGGCGGTATTTAACGATCTATTTTTTACAAAATCAAGCCAATAAATAGGTATAATTCCTTCAACCATTTGGTTATAAGGAGTGGTTTGATATCATCCGGTGCAATAATTTTGAAGACTCAACAAGTATTATTAATTGATCTAGTATTATCGATAAGTGGTTGTACTGTATTTTGAAATAGTATTTAATTTTATTTAATCATATGTTTATTTCTAGATTCAATGAATTAAAATTAACGATGAAATGGAAACTACTATATATTCTCAATTCTTTCTATATTATTAATGTGGTAATTCTATGGATTCAAATATTCTTAACTCATTCTATATTATGATGTGGTTATTCTATGTATTCAAAAATAGATAAGATTACTAAATTTATATTTTCTTTTAGAATATTCATCATTAAATCTCACTATTACAAAATCGGAAAGGGTAAGTTCCACTCATTTTTGTTAAACCTCAACTGGGTGCAAGGTTTGTTGGTATCCTTGAGAAAAAAATCGCCATAATTTATGAAGGGTTGGCCTTCATAATATTCACGTTACCTCATTTTGGGTAGGTCTATGATCTACGTGCTAGATAAAATAAGATAAGAATAGGTATAATTTATAATTATTGATCAGAATGATAATAAAGCTATGATAAAATTAAAAATATGTTACGCTGAGATGATAAAAAATATATACTATACGATTATTAAAATAATTATGTAATTTAGATATATAATTTTCCTTAAATATTATGTAATATTTATCTCTATCTATATTTCAAAAATTGTTATCGCTATAAAGAAATAACTTTGATTTCCATAGCGTTAAGTAACACACCGCTTTAACCAAAAAAGAAATATAATTTTTTTTAGATAGTCTATATTAATAGTGAATAGTATAATTACGTTGATACAATATCGACAATTATTTTATTTTTTTTTAACTGAAATAATATATGCATGTAATATAATATTCATCATTCAATAGATTGCCCATTGTCATAAATCTATCCGTCCATGATTATTATAAACCATGATTTTATTAATTTATCTTTTGAGTTATCAATAAATTTTAATGATTTGTTGTATGATCTTAGGCCTCATATATAGTAAGCTCTTTTAGAATTATTCCTTATAATTAATTATACAAGCAGAAATGCTGCCTGTTTAATGTTTGCTTTATCAATGTTATTATTTTGGATTCCTTGTCATGCATAATAATCATTATTATTTTGAGCTATACGTTTCGGATATGGTGTTTCTAGTGGAGTACCATCTCATAAGTTGTAAAGGTTTGTTTCATTTAATTCCGTCATCATCAAAATATTTAAAATAGAAAGATGATTGTCAATTATTTCCATCGTTTGATTCTTTAGCAATCTATTCCATATTTTTAAGACTGAACTCTTAAGAATTCAGAACAGTTTCCTATAAAAAAAAAGAAAAGTGTACATTATCAAGTTAAGGTATATCCGGTGCACATGATTTCATTCTTTCTAAGAATTCTGCTAGCCTTTCATATTTTTCTTGCTTAACATTGAATAACCTTTAATTTGTGCAATACTTAATTTCTTAAATCTTCCAGAACATATATTTTTAAATACGACTTATTTATTATATCTATGATTATAATCGCGGTTTCCTCATTTAAAACGTTTAGTAAATAATTTTTTTTTGATGTCTAGTTTTATATAGTTCGTAGTAATTATTTCAAAAATTTTACTTGATCCACTCTGTTGTAATACCCACATTTATTAGGGTATTACTAATATATAATAAAATAATCATCGGGTTCTATATATTATTTTGATAGATTATAAGAATTCCATTTAGGTATAATAATGAAGATTTTCTTTAAATAAGTGATGCTTATATACGTTTTTTGTTCAATCTTCCTTATTAGTTCCTATGAGTGCTCTAATGAGTATCGTAGCCAATATATAGGAAAAATTTATTAGTAACAAATTTTGGCAATCTTTATGATTAAAAAGGGACTGAAAGCAATTATTCTAAAAAAAATTTCACTGTTTAGTCCTTAATTGTCGGTTAATGATGCTTACTACCAAGTGAATGTATGGAAATATTTTAAATACCAATCTAATTTGCTAAATACCGACCAAAATATATTAAAATGTAATAAGACCCTTATTATTTAATATATTAATACGGAATCACGTGGTCGAGTCCGGCCTTCTATATATCATCCCCCCAAGGATGGAACCACCAAGTTAGAATAAGAAAAAAAACATGATCATCATTCCCGGGATTCGAACCCGGGAGCATAGGATAAGTAAGCCAAGCTCTTGCCTACTAGGCCATAGAGGCTTTCCAAAAATCACGATTTTTTAAATATATATTATAAATATATTTGGTAGTGCCTATCCAAATGAAAAATGAACAAAATTCAAATTTGATAGATAGTACCTTAAAGTACCAAGCATCATTAACCTTAATTGTCATAAGCCTGGCCAGAATTGTGCCAAAGGGGAGGGCAGTATTAGGATGATTTTTCCCCGTAGATTTTATTGGAAATCTTTGTGATATTACATTTTTCAAGAATAATTTTATTTTAACATTTCTTTTATAAAAATGCCCTTTTCGAAAGATTTAAAAGTATATTCATTATTTGAAAAGGTAATAATTTTTACCTATTCTTCTTTCCAATTATTGCTTATAATGATATATTTTATACATTTTAATTTTTACCTATTCTTCTTTCCAATTATTGCTTAGAATGATATATTTTATACATTTTAGGGGGAGTGTAGAATATAGAAGTTCTAAATATCTGCTTTGTATTAATATTTAGTGTCATACTTATTAATTCTTCGATCAATTACGCCAACCACAAAAAATTAACCAAATTATATAACAAATAAAAACTATGAAATTACACTTTAGGCGTTGACTCAGTCAAACTTCTGGAAGTAACTCTGAAACATATATTAATAATTGGTGCTTATTTATTCATTTTAATACGTCAACCCTCTTGGTAAATAATTCGGAGAAAGGCATTATATGCAAAATGAGGAAAAAAGTGCCATGATTATCATAATGCTAAAACAAAAATATAGAAGCAATGAATATCTGGACTCGCCAATATGTAACCAGATTATTACTTACAACCAGTTATAAGAGTTGATAACTATATAACAGTCCTTAGCCTGAATCTTAAATGCCAGATTATACATTATGGTTACTTATCTGGACTCGCCAATATGTAACCAGATTATTACTTACAACCAGTTATAAGAGAGTTGATAACTATATAACAGTCCTTAGCCTGAATCTTAAATGCCAGAATATACATTATGGTTTTTCTCTGATTCTAGTATTGATAAATGGTTCGATTTAAGCCGATTTTTAAAAATGGTCATCCAATATTTTATCCAAAAAAATATTGCGTAAGCCTGAAGATTTTAGTCATATATGGCACAAAGGGTTAGAGCCTATTAATGAAATCCGAGATTTCAATAATATTTTCTGGCTAAAATATTGACTTATCCGTTTCTAAAATACCTGGATTCAAAATATTTTTGAATTTATAATTTTGCGATCTTTATAGATATTATTTGTTCTTTTCAGTTTATTTAATAGATTTGGAAGTAAGATAGATATTATCTCACTAAGAATGACAGGGAATCAGAATTTTCTCCTTAATTTGATGATGGATGTCACCTTTTATTTGTTACTCCTCATATCCTATTTTTATTCCCTCCCCTATAGACCTATGTCCAACCCATTAAGATCAATAGTGTACACT